GTTTGTCCAGCAAGGAAATGCAGTCAGAAGAGGAAGACTTGCAGGTTTGAGGTGGGAAGGTAGAGTCTGAGCACCTGTCCTTAAGACTTAGCCCAGCTGCCTTTCTTCGAGCTCGGAGAGTCTGGTGAGCTGGACTGTGCTGGGAGGCCCAGAGGAGTATAGTTTGGACGGTGAAATTGTCTAGTGGGATGAAGCAAGATCGGTGCCTGGGGCAGCATTTAAGGATGTCCTCACTCAGGTTTCTGCACAGGGTCCCATGAGAGTAAGAGCTCCTTAAGTTTTGTGCTCTAGGTACCTGACTCGCTATTCCCTGCTCCTGGCTTTGCCTGCTGTTGCTACATGGTGGATAATTAATTACTATCATTGGGAAAGAAGCATATGTGCATGGTGATTAAGTTAAAAGCATAAAAGGGTATACCATGGAACAAGGCTCCCTCCCTCTCCAGATCCAGATCTTTTATCTTCCTCTCCAGAGGCAGTCTCACCAGCCAAGTGCTTTTTTATCCTTCCAGCTGCTCTTGTGGATCAGGCCTTACGGGGACTTCCAAGAGGAGCGGCTTTCAGTCATTAGGCTGGTACACAGTCGTTGAATTTCTGCTGTGTTCCACATTTGCTTGAGTGCAGAGAGGAACAAATGTGCAGAAAGCTTGCAGCAGGATGGAGGGGAGGGGAGGGGAAGTGGGGTCAGTGTCTGCCAGTTAGGGCTGAGGGGTATGTCAGTCTCTTCCGCGTTTGGTGGCTGCACACACAACAGGGTATTGTCAGTCTTTTCTCTCTCCTGTGGATGTCCACCTTTTCGTTTCTCTCCACTTGTTCCCGTCTATCTTTGCCTTATTCCCCTCCCTCCTCCCTCTTCCCTTTCTCTCTTGCCTCCCTTCCTGTCTCCGTTTTCTGTATGTGGCATTGTCCTTGCTGGTCTTTTTCTCGAAGCTTTTTCTGTCGCTTCTGCTTCTTTTTGTCGTCTGCTTCCTTCCTCTGCTTCTTTGTGGTTTTTCTTCCTGTCACTAAGGGCTTGTCTGTTCTTTGACTTGCTATAATTGCTGACTCTTAGAGTAGCCTTCCACCGTTAGATTGATTTGGTGTCTTGGTATTTCAACTCCACTTTCCTGGGAGAGACAATCTAATAGGGCCAGCTTTTGCTCCGATGTCTGGCTCAATCTGTCATGTTAGAGGAAGGGGTGCAATTCCCAAGAAAGGACTGGAAAAGTACCTCAGAATAGCTGACTGTACCAAACAGAGGATTATTGGTAGCTGTTAACTACCTGTGTTGGCTTAGCCCACACAGAACTTGGATTAGCAGGGTAGGTCACCGGGAAGACCTCCCAGTAGCATGCATTCCTTTGGGTTTCTTCTCTCCTCCCCCTTGGCCACTGTGCTGCCAGCCCCACCGCCGTAGGACTGACTAGTGAGGACCTGTGTTACTTGCCGTGTGTGGAATAAAGCTCTTGAAGCAAGTGAAGGATGTTTTGCCATGTGTGGGTTTTTTTTACAGCTGGTTCTGGTGCTGTTCTCCTTTTGAGTTAGAGGAAGTTCTATCTTTCTGGCAGTTTCCTTACCCGAGACAATTGACTGTTAAGTGAAAGCCATCACCACTTTGATTCTAACCAGAGTTCATCAGGTCCCCTCTTTGGTTGGCAATGAGCACACTATGCTTTTGCTCACCTTTGAGAGTTTATGATCTTGGGGAAACAAGACCAAAACACCGGAGGGAGAGACTTACTTGAGACAAGTCTCCACTGGACCAGAGCATCAGACACTAACTGCTCTGTAAAGTGGGGATGTTATAGGAATCAGGAGTGGGAGCTCAGGCGAGGCTGGCTGGTGTGTTTGGAGGATTTCAGAGAATAGGGGCTAAGATAGACGTTGGAAGTGAGTGTTGTTGGCTTGAGGAGAAGAAAAACAGAACATTTCTTTTTCTTTAATTTTTTTTTTTTTTTTTCATGAGTGGGAATTAAACCCAGGGCCCTCCCACTAAGCTGTATTGCCAGCCTTTTTTTTTTTTTTTTTTTTTTTTTGGTTTTTCTCCGGTACAGGGAACTGAACTCACGACCTTGCGCTTGCCAGGCAGGCGCTTTGCCACTGAGCTAAATCCCCAGCCCTCGCCAGCCTTTTAATTGAAACAGTTTTTTAGGCTGAGGCAGGAGGATCACTGTGAGTTTGAGATTAGTCTGGGCTACATAAACAAGTTCAACGCCGGTCTGCACTACGTAGCAAGACCCTGTCTCAAAAATCCATCAATCAGTCACCTTTTTTTTTTTTGGTACTGGGAATTGAACTCAGGACTTCATGCTTGCCAGGCATGCGCTGCTCCACTGAACTAAATTCCTGGCCCCTTAAAACACTTTTTTGTTGTTGTTTTGAGACAGGGTCTCACTATGTAGTGCAGGCTGGCCTTGAACTTGCTTATGTAGCCCAGGCTGGCCTGGCACTCACAGCAATCCTCCTGCCTCAGCCTTCCAGGCTCTTGAGTACTGGGATTACAGGTGTGTGCCACCATGCCTGGCTAAAACACATTTTTGTATTGAGACAATGTCTCACTAAGTTACCCAGGCTGGGCTTGAACTTGCACTTCAAGGACTTTTCTTTCATATGTATATCAGTCATAAATAAGGAAAAGAGAGTCTGGCTGAGAGAGTGCAAAATGGGTAGGAGTAGGTGGAAGTAGTCTAGTGGATGGTTGATGCAGAAAGAGCTGTAGTCATCCCTTGTTGCTTTGCTACCTTCTGCCTGCCAAGAACTGTTTCTCCTGTACAGTTCCAACCTGGTTTGGAGCCAGCTGATTAGGGACTGAAACCTCTACAAACTGTGAGCTAAATGAACCTTTCCTCCTTCAGCTTTGGGTGTCAGGCATTTTGTCTCAGCAATGAGAAAAGTAATTAAAACACTCTCTAAATATAACAGCCAGCATCTCCCTTAGTTTTTGGTAGGCTCAAAGACTTTGTGATAATGTATGAGGTTTGTTTGGAGGCTAGAGACAGTTAGAGGTGTCACTGTGTCCCTTCCTCCCAAGCCTCACCCTTTGATCCCTGTAGATTAAAGCAGACCTTTTTCTTTTTTCTTTTTTTTTTTTTTAAGCAGGAACAAAGTGCTAGGACCTTGGTGGGCATGGTGGCACATACCTGTAATCCCAGCACTTTGGGAGGCTGAGGCAGTAGGATTGCAAGTTTAAGCCTAGCCTTGGCAGTTTAGCAACTTAGCAAAACCCTGTTTCAAAACAAAAAATAAAGGGTTGGGGATATAGCTCAGTGGCACAAGCACCTGCCTGGTAAGCACGAGATCATTAGTTCGCTTCCTGGTACCAAAAAAATAAAAGAAAAGAAAGGCTGGAGATATAGCAGCCTGGGCATCTTAGCAAGATCCTGTCTCAAAATAAAAAATAGAAAAAGAGGGCTAGGGATATAGCTCAGTGGCATAAGCGCCTGCCTGGCAAGCACAAGGTCCTGAGTTTGATTCCTGGTACCAAAAAAAAAAAAAAAAAAAAGAAAGAAAGAAAAAGAGCTAGAGAGGTAGCACAGCTGAAGACCCAGGGTTCAATACTCAGTATCAAGCCAGATGTGGTACACACCTCTAATCCTAGCACTTGGGAGGCTAACACAGGAGGATCACTGTTTATGGCCAGCCTTGGCTATATAGTGAGACCCTGTCTTTAAAAAAAGAAAGAGAAAAAAAAGTACTCACTACTGGGGTTCAAAAAGGGCTTGGGTCTCAACACAGGGCCCCAAATGTCACTGAGGTAAGTGAGGAGCTGGGCTTCAAGGCACCTTTGGGAAGACTCACTTCTCCATGGCCCAATTTTTTTTTTTTTTTTTTTTTTTTTGGTCTTTTTGAGACAGAGTCTCCCTGTGCAGTTCAGGCTGGCCTTGAGCTCACTTTGTAGTCCAGGCTGGTCTCGAACTTGTAACGATCCTCCTGCTTCAGCCTCCTGAGTGCTGGGATTACAGGTGTGGGCCACCACGCCTGGCTCCAGGGCCCAATTAACTGCGAATTGGGTGGTGTGAATAGGAATGCCGTGGGGTGATCATTTGGGCTTGGAAATGTGAGTTTAGGAATGGACATTAGCTTCTGTCAGCCTCAGTTTCTTCAGCTATAAAATGTGAATAGGCACATCTGCATTTTGGGGTTTGTGAGACTTGATTGGAGAGGATATCTTTGAAATTTTCAGATATATAACTGACTTTTTTTTTTGCATTTACATAAAAAACATTGTCTTTAGTTCTTTTTTTTTCTTTTTTTTTTTTTTTTGGTTTTTTTCTGGTATCGGGAATCGAACTCATGACCTTGCGCTTGCCAGGCAGGCGCTTGCCAGGCAGGCGCTGTGCTGCTGAGCTAAATCCCCAGCCCCACACTGTCTTTAGTTTCTACATGGTCTGTCCCATGCATTCAAATTTACCTCATTTCCTTCTATCGCCCTCTGCCCTGGACCCGCACTCCTCTGTGCTGTGGGGATTGATTGCCTTCACACTGAGCTACATCCCTAGACCTTTTTTTATTTTTTTTTATTTTGAGACTTAGGGTCTCTTTAAGTTACCAGGTTACCCAGGCTGGGCTCAAACTTTCAGTCTTCCTGCCTCAGCCTCCTAGAGTGCTGGGGTTGCAGGCATGTGCTGCCACACCTGGCTTTATGGGTATTTCTTGTTCCCACTATCTGATGTGGCTGTAGAGGTCTTGTGCTTCTTATGGTTTGGAATCTGGGGAGGGTGGGTGGGGAAGAGTGGGTGAGGTGAGGTCATTTTTGAGTCTGGGGAGAATTTCCAAAAGTGACTCTGGCAGTCAGAATGTATGAATATGTGTTCATGCGTGCCTTTATACTTTGGAGTGTCAGTAGTATTAGGACGTCCATGGGTGCCGTCAGCTAGAGCAGATCTTCCTGTGTGGTTCTCACTGGTCCATTTCCCTCTAACGTAGGCAGAAAGGGTAGAGGTAGTATTTTGTATAAACAGAGGTTAGGACTGTGTGCCTTCAGCTCAAGCCTGCTGGTGACTTTGTGGTTTTCTTTCTAGGTCTGCTGACATTTGTGAACTGTGCCTACGTCAAGTGGGGCACACGAGTACAGGACCTGTTCACTTATGCCAAGGTCCTAGCGCTCATTGCCATCATCATCATGGGCCTTGTTAAACTGTGCCAGGGTAAGCGGGGCCCAAGGTGGGAAGAAGGGTGGACGTCCCCAAGAGCTACTCTGATTTCCTGAGGAGGTTGTGGGGACTTCACTAGCTTACGGCTTAGTTCCTCCTGTGTGCATGTTGGAATCCATCAGTGAGTGCAAGAGAGTGCCATGCATCTCTTTGTGGGCTTCACGGGCCAGGCTGGCTTGGTCAACTGGACCATGTCAGGCTCTCCCTCAGGAGCCCTTTCCTTCTGTGGTGGCTGAGATCATTGCAGGAAGCCAGCCAAGGGCCTATGAGCTCTTGAAACTTGGGTCATCATTGGGTCCCAGAAGTAATCTGGGGGTTACAGTGGCTCCTGGTTTGGGTCTGTGACAGCCAGACCACAAATAGGAAAACTTGACCCTTTGACCCTCCTATAAAGGGGTGGCAGTGTGTGTGTGTGTGTGTGTGTGTGTGCGCGCGTGTGTGTTTGTGTGTGTGTTGGAGGGAGGTAGTATGTAGAAATGAGTGGTTATCTTACAGTGTACTTTTCATCTGGACTTGGGTTCAGCATTCCCTTCCAAAGTCAGCTCTCAACAAAATACTAGAATATTGTGAAATTGGCAGTGTCTTCCCAGCATGTTGGCTTTCAGAAGCTGTTCATTCCTGAGTCAGAGCAGACTGGTAGTAAGGGTAACAAGATCTACTGAGTCCTTAAAGAAATCTTAGGGAAACTTTAGCCAAGGGCATCTCCTTCCTTTAACAACAGAGCTGTGTTTATGATCACCTGGGGAGGTGAGACTATTGGATGACACTCTGGTTTATTTGAAGTCTAAGAAACTGCTTTTCTTCCCCTGAGGTGCTGGGGATTGAAGCCAGGGCCTCACCCATGCTAGGCAAACACTTTGTTACTGAGTTACACACACCCTCACCCCAAAGCTGTGCTTTAGCAAAGTGCTCTGGGTGATTCTTAGGCAGTTGGTCTAGGACCTTTGTGCACTCATGCTAAGAAAGTGCAGCCAGCCATCTGGATGTCCCTGGAGTCTCAGGAGAATCTTGGAATTAAATTGGGCTGAGTAATCCTTCCTCCAAGATCTGTGCCTCAGGAAACCACTGTTCTGTCCAGTGATTAGCACCCTGGCTGATGGGGTCTCTAATTTTCCTTTTCTTGCTGTACACTTAGTCTCTCTTTGCCACTCAAGAGTTGGGTCTAAGCTTTCTCCAGGGTATGATGATGATAAGTTTCCTTAGAAGTCTGAGTCTTAGGCATGATAGCACACACCTGTAATCCCAACATTCTGAGAGGCTGAGGCAGGAGGATCACAAGTTTGAGTCCAGCCTATGCAAATTAACAACTTAATGAAACCCTGTCTCTATTTTTTTTTTTTTTT